AACTCTACCCTAGCAAAACCAGGACACTTGTTCTTTATTGCTAACATTTCTAGACCCTCTTTTTTGCCGCCCTTCTATATCACTTTCTCTGCCCAGTCTCCCTTCAGATAAATAAACTGCCTCTTAATTATTCTTTCCCAGTTGGTCCAATTTGCTACATCCTTTCCCAGATTTCTTATTTCTAAAACTATATCCTAAGTAATCTCGGCCTAAAATGGTATTACGATGGTGTTACTTAGGTACTGATGGACTTGCAAGATTTTATCCCTGCAAAAGATGCCTGATAATCCCTTTCAGTTATCTGCTTAATACCCATTACGTATTCTTTATTTGGTACAGTTTCTAAGATATATGAGTCTACTTCAGCCTGTTTTCCTCTACCTGGTTTTGATTAAGTATGCTTTATCTCTATTCAGCTTAGCTCTTCTCAGTTTATATGCAAGTGGCACACATACCAGGGCAAGGCACATACTGTTAGGTGCTTTTTCTCATTCTGTTTTTTTGCTCACAAAATATACTGTTTGTCAGGAAGCAGTGAGGGCCAGTTGGTCCCTAAGGGAAGAGGAGCCAGGAGCTGAGCATAACAAGACTGACAGAGGCAATGGCCTCACCAGCAAGGGCTCCCTCCCTCTCCAGCAGCACTGTCTCAGAGTTGGCCCTGAGTTCAGGTAGCCAAACCTCCAGCCCCTTTCAGGAAGGGGGGATGTTCTCAGTTCCTTTCCAGTACCCTCTCGGGTGTTCAATCAAAAATCATCAGCCTTCGCACCTGCTGATAATCTCCCCAGTTTCTGCAGAGACCCTGTCTTGTTATGCGGTCCACTACTCCGGCAGAACCTCTTGCTCACTATGTCTGTACTCCCTATGCTTAGGACCAGATACTTTTCTGTTCTTTGAAAAGATGATTGGAAGAGAAAAAACTGATGGAATTTAACAGTATTAAACATTAAATGGTGGTTTCCTTGCAGATATATTTGTAACTGTAGCAGTATTTATTAGTGAACAATTTAAGAAATATTACAACTTTTATGAGTTAAACTTTTACGAGACTTTTTAAGATGTGTTTTTTTCTATTTCTTTTAGTATCTCCTGAAGCAATTGGATTCCTTTCTGCTGTCGGGGTGTTCATTATTCTCATGTTGCTACTTTTCCTATATATTAATAAGAAGATGTGTTTTGAAAATGTGAGTGGTTTCCCAGATCTCGATTCAGGATACACTACAAGAAAGAATTCACAAGATAAACTTTGTAAGTATTTGAAATACAGTGTACTAAATTATAAGAATGCACATTTTTACAGGGATGTGTAGAAATAGAGAAATAATCACTTGACTCACGTGATGAAAACACAGTGTTGACTTTTCCCATGACTGTGCAGTATGTGGAAATGAAGAAACCCTTGTATTCACAAGCCACAGAAATTTAACAGCTGTATAACCAGAGAGTTGACATTTACTTATGGGAAGATACTTCTCTTGTACTGTGAGAATACTCTTGAGCGTATTTTAAATGTTTCATAATTGTGTATCATGAAATCTTCTCAAGTAAATTTGTGAATGGGATTATTGGGTTTTCACTCAGTCTGTTAAAATCCTTCACTGACTTTTTGGAGAAGGTTTTGCATTTACTTGACTGGAAAATAATTTTAAAGAAGTAAAACATTAGAAACTAGAGACATCTTATCTCTGACTAACAAATTATTGCTATACTTTTTAATATAACAAGGTCTTTAAGGATAATATGAAATGAAAAAAAATTAGACCTTGAAAAAGATATTGAGGGTTAGTAAAATAACCCCTTCCTGGTTTTGGGCTGTGGAAATTGAACGGGCTTTGTTTGCTGTCTTGAGAGGAAGAGACAGGCACCAGAAAACAGAATGGGAAATTTGAGAGGTTTTCTTCCCTTCTACCTCTTTAAAAGATAGAGCTAAATTTTTATTTTCAGTTTTCTTGGACACAGAAAAACTTCTCCCCCTGGAAGTTAAATCTGTCATCTTAACTTCCTTTTGCTACAAAACAAGTCTTTATGTTCCGAAATATCTTACCTTATGTAAAAGACAAATATTGAGGGGTGAAGTCTCCATGATGAGTGTTTTTGTGCAACTATTATGTTAAAAGCTTGTTTTGCTGTGACATTCATGAAAGGATGTAATTTAAATATCTCAAAACTTCTTCTTTGCAGGTTAGAATAAAAAAACCCCCTACATTTCCACCTCACACAGTTGTCTTATTTTGGAAAATAATGAATTTTATTATGGCTAGTTATGCTACAGTTGATGAAAGACGATGGTTTTGCTGGTTGATTGTCGCTTCGAGATATTTACTTAGTTGTTTTCTTATTATTTTCAATGCGTACTGAATGGAAAGAGCAAAGCTGCAACTTCCCCTGGTAAATGTATTGAGTTTGAGATAGCAAAAGTAAATAGCTCTGAAATTAAACTTGGAGAAATGGAATTGATCCGTTTGTGAAACAGAGGACCTTTCTGTATCAAAAGTTGTTACTGATTAGGTTGGACAAATGGCGTTTTTTAGAAACCTCCAGCAAAATCTAAGCCTTCCCTCTGTGTCTTCTCTGGTCGACACGCTGAGCAGTGCTGTGGATGACCTGACCAGTGTTGTTGGAGAAGTCAGCTACAGTGTAGCTGATTCAGTAACAGAACAAGTAACAAGCATGATAAATGGCCTTCGTGCTGAAGGTGAAAGCTCCAAAATACAGCATGATGAACCTGTGCAAGGGAGAGAGGAACATACACCATCATTAACTTGTTCTCAGGAAATTAATATGAAAGCAATGAGAGGTATTGCAGAACATAAAGAGACTCATTATTCTAAACCATTAGATTTTGTAAAAAAAGATGCAAGTCAAGATGGAGTATCTGACCATGTTGTGGACAAAAAACAGTGCCAGTTAAAAGGCAGAGATAGTAATAATCATTTAAGTGATACAGAAGTACCTCAGGATTTGAAGAATGTAGGAGGACCTTTGAAAAGGGAAGCAGTAGGAGGAAATGAGTGTTTTGTAAATGATAAGTTCTTGAAGGATAGTAACCTGAAAAGTAATAAATTTACAAGGGAGCAATCTATTGAGGAAAAAGATAATTGCCTACGTGCAGTATCAGATAATTCTAAGAATCACTTGCATAGAAAAATCAAACCACAGTCACCTGGAATTGATTTTGAGGGTTCTGAAGAAGTGCACAGTATGAAGGTTCCCCAAGATTTAGAAACAAAACTTGAAGTACAGAAGGAAAAATTATCAGACTCCAGCTTGAAGAAGATGCCCAATGACCGTCCCAATTGCATTAATGAATTCAAAGAAAAGAAATCTGAAGCCTTTTTTGGCAGAAAAGGAAAATCTGTATCAAAGGATGAAGACAATGTGTCAACTACAATTGCAAAAGTAGGTAAAAAGAAAAACTCAAAGAAATTGGAAAAGAATTCAAGAGAGCTATGTAATAAGAAGACAGCAGGAAAAGGTGAGGAGTCTCCAGCAGCAAACTGCATTCTTCAACCTTTCCTGAAACTTATGCTACTTCCTACTTTTTTCACCTAATTTCCACATTCAACAGTAGTGTATCCTGTGGATGAAAGTAGGTCTGTGTTGTCAGTGCTTCGTTCTCTAATTATGTTGATATTTCTTGGAAGTTAATTACTTTTTAAAGTATTACTTAAAGGAACTGATTAATAAATGTCTTTCCTATGTTCTAACTTTTCTTTTCCTTACCTTCTCTGCAGTGCCTTGTGTGGTTTTTGTTGAAAACTATGAATTAATTAGTAGTGGAAATTAACACTTGTTCTGTGAAAGTGGTTTTTATTTTGTGTATTTTAAAAGAATTGCATCAAATTTGATAACATGATAAAAAAATAACTTCTGTTACATTCACGTTATAGTAGATCTTCAGAATGTAGTTCTGGGATATGCAAGATAGTAATTTCAAAACACAAAACTCAATGACAAGTGGCAATTAAGTGATTTTAATATAGAAAGAAATGAATGAGACTTGTCTTAAAGAAAGTTGGAGTCTTACGAAGAAGACTTGTGTATTGTTGATGTGGATGCTGTGTGTGCTGTCTTCAACATCCAGTCTTAAACAATATGACAGTGGGTTTGCAATAATAGCTTGTGAGTAAGAAGTAAAACCTTGCATTTTTACACAATTATTTTGCAGGCTATGTAGTGAATTTTTAGAAAGCAACACAGGCTTTTCTGGAAGTGCTGTTTCTGTAGATAAATTAATTATTTCATAATAGAAATAAATTGGCGTTTTTTTTCCATGTGTTTGTTTTCCCTTATCTGAAAATTTCAATTATTCATTTTGTTGTTGGGTTTTTTAAATTTGATTTAGGAGGTGGTTTCCATGTTTATATGATAAACTATTATTTTATCTGTTATTTCTTCATGTAACGTGATATTTGTAAAGTATATTCTCTATCAAAAATGGCATTTAAGGTCCCATAATAAGCAGATGAATACCTTTCAGTATGACCTGTGTTAGCCAAATAAAAGAAATTTTGAAATAAGAACATTAATTTTCTTAGGCAAGTTTCCAGCTAACATATAAAAGCCAAAAAACTAGGAAGGAGAGGGCTAAAAACTTGAGGATTTTTTTTTTTTTTTATGTGCAGGAAACTCTGTGCAGTTTTTTACCAAGAAACTGAAACAGATTTGTATTTTAAAAATGTTTGCATGGATAACTGTGTTTTAATGACATTTTTAAGTCCCCTGAAGCAGTCTTGTTTCATGACTTGTAATAATAGTATATATCCTCATTCTTTTCCTTTTATGCTAGGAGCAGGAGGAAAAATACCTGGTATCACTGAGAACTGAATGCTTACAAACGACAGTTAGAGGCATAACTTTCAGCACTTCGTTCAAACATGTTGCTACCATGTTTTATAGTACTTTCTTCTTTATACTTTATGCAGACTGATTAATGAACCTAATTTAATATTTGTGAATGCATTTCTCGTAATGATAAATGACGCATCTAATACTGAAGTCTGTTACTTTGTGTTAGCCCTGGTATGCCCTGCTTTAGTTATAGTTGTGGAAATCTGTAGGCATTTCCTAGGTGGCAGGTTTCAATCTGTTGAGGGCCATATGAGATGCAGAATTTTACTCCGTTTACCAGCAAAGGAGGCTCCTTTTTCTGGGCAGCCTCTTGCAGTGAACCTCCTGGCCAGAATATATCTTGCTTGATGTGATATTCTCAATAAGTGATCAGTGAAATTGAGCTTGTTTTACAGCCATCCATACAATGGAAAGAACCGTATCTGTCAGACCTGAATTAAAATTGGTAGCCTAGAGCTGAAAGATCTAGTTGCTCATTAGCAGTCTTCTAAGGCACCAGTTTTCCTATAAATACTAAATTAAGATTACGTGCACATTGCATGTAGAGCTGGTAGCACTATCTGCAGTTAAGATTTCCTGTCATTTTCCATTTCAAGACCTTATTTTCAGTTGCTTATAACTATGTGCCAAATTTGACATATTTGGGATTAAATTTGGCATGCTTTTTGTCTAAGTTTTTTTTCTTTTTTTAAGCTATAGGTTAAAATCTTTAGCTGTTTCCAGGAATAGAGCATAGGAAAAACTCGCTGGTTATCTGTGCAAAAAATAATAGAATGCACATGTGCTTCACTGAGGTTCTTTGCCACCTTTTTATATTGGACTATGTACTTGAAATATGGGAGAGCACTTTGCCCGTGTTCTTCTGTGAAAAAACACATTGTTTGACCAAATTGCAAATATTTGGAAACTTTGTCTTTAGAAAGGACATAGTAAACACTTATAATTTGCTCATTAAATTCAGTGACCATTCCATTTGCACTCGTATGCTTCACTGTAGGGGTTGAAGAACAGAGCAGATCTTACCCTGCTTTTGATATTTAGGGTTACTGAAGGACACTGGAAGTTTGAACAGAAGAACTGAGAGTAAACACGACTTATGTAAGGACAGAAACTTCCTGAACAAATGTGACATGATGCGAGTGGTAGTCTGGGATTTGAAGTAGGATGGCTGACAGCTATGGAGAGAGGTGGTAATATTTATATGGAGGTGGTGAGACTAAGGGTGGAAGACTAAGTGTGCATGAGTAGTTGGTTGGGTGCAAGTAAAGAGAATTTGGGACTGAATAGACAAAGAGATTAAAGATGAAATCCCCATAAGAGACCAAAACTGGGTACTTGGCACAGGAACCTGGAGCATGGGGTGGGGAGACAGGAACCTAGGGTAAGATTCTACTCATAAAAATGTAACTTTGCAAAAGATGTCTTACCTAAACTTGAGGCGTAGGCTTTTCTTTATGAGTACCAGGAAGAAATAGGCCTCAAGGGGAAGTGATTTTACTCATTTACTCTAGAGGCTTACCTAAGAGTGGGAAGGAAGGACCTCTGTAGTAGGAAGAGGCAAACACGTGACTGCAAAAGAGGCCTAGATGGCTGACGTAGCTTGAGTTACTTTAATTCTGAATGGCTGAATTTTGGGTAAGCTGAATCTCTCCTTTAGTTGGAATACCCAGACAGAGGAGTAAGACTGTCTGGGCATGAAGGCAGAGACTAATGGGAGTGGAAATGCAGAACGAAAGCTATGAAAGGGACTGGGAGGGGAGTATAAAAGCAGAGAGGGGAGAAGCAATTAAGCATGGCTGGATAGCATGTTAGACGATATTGTCTTGCAGAATCAGGAGCTGAGAAAGCATTATGGGCATCTCAGATTTCTGCTGGTAATGGAAATCCATTGGCAAATCATACAGCATAGGCTTGCTCACAGGGTAATGCTGACCTTTTTGAGTTTACATGAACTTTTTTAATGCCTATTAGAGTTTGAGATCTACAGAACCTATGTATGGCATGTTAAGTTTGGACAGAATCCATCTGAGGTTTGGAAAAGGGAGGAGGAAGCTTTCCTTTCACAGAAAGAAAAATGCAGCTGAATTTTTGACTTGTAGGAGGAAGTCGTACTTGAGATGTAGTTGGAAGAAGTTAGCCACAGGAGTGGGCATTATAGAGGAATGGGTATGAAAGAATTAACTAAATAGATTCTTCAATTTTTGCTGTTGCCAGATGTCTGCAGTGAGAATCTGCATTAATTACATTATTGAACAAGAGGCTGTTTATTTTAAGTTAAATAAAATTGTGCATGCAAACATCTTTCACTAGCATTTTCCCATTTGTTGTTGAGTTTAAGCACTACTGACATAAATATCATACGATGATTTTGTTTTAGGCTTCTCTTTGTAAATCAGTTTCATTTCTATGTTATACTGCATGCACATAGCAAAAACCAGCTGGGAATAGAGCATCAAGAGCTGCCTTTTTTATATGTTAGGTATCCAAATGTAATATTGCAGCAGCGTTGGATTTATTTTACTTTTTTTTTTTTTTTTTTTTGCACATTTCTTACTTATTGAAGGGTTTCAAGAACTTCAGTGTGTGCTGCCTTACATAAATGGATTGATTTTCTGTTGAATAAGTTTTAGAATGTTTATTGGGGCTTAATGATCCTTCAGTTTTTCTAGAAAACAAAAATAGCTCTCACCAATTACAAAATAACATAATACTTATAATTACACGTGATTATATTTTTTTATATTACAGAAATTTTAATTGAAATAGCTTAAATATCTTCAATGATAACCTCTTATGGTTATTTTCTTGTATTCTATTTTGAGCTGTAGTCGATTTGCTTTATTTTATTCAAACAGACAACTCTTATATGAGTAAAGACCAGCATGGTTCATCATCTGAGAGTGAAGATGAAGCACTGGGTAAATATCATGAGGCCTTGTCTAGAACCCAGAGTTCCAGGCTGCCAGTGGTGGATGGCAGACAGCAAAAAAACTATATATGGGAAACCAGACAAAAATATAGTCCCCTGTCTGCAGAATATGATGGATACAGTAGTGAAGCCTCAATAGATGAAGGTAAGAGTGATTTAAAAGCATTCCTTTTATTCCAAATTTGAGAATAATGTTATGGATAAGTAAGTCCTAGGCAAGAACAGCTTGACTTGTAAATAGTCAATGTCTGCAAGAAATATCCAGATATCATATATTTATGCATGCTCAAAAAAAATTGGCACAGACTTGTGCACATTCTTCCAGAAATACTGCAGATGATACAATATCTTATTATATTAAGTTTCATACAATTTTAGAATTATTGATTTTATTTTTGGGGAAATTTAAACTGTTTTCATTTAGGAAGGAAACATGGCAACTCTTGATGAATTCTGTGGTATTATAACTATAAAGAAGACTTGTTATTCCTCTATTGATAAGCTGTTATAACAGTGCAGTAAACAGAATTGGTTATTGGTTATGGTGCGTGCATATCATCATTGCAGTGTGCATTACTGGAACGTTCTGTATCTTGTCTTGAAATCACAGAAAAATTATTTCAAAGATTAGATTAATATAATTTTTCCATGGCGTTAAAAGTTGGATGTAAACAATGGATGTTTCCTTTTGTGGT